CAAGCTGTATTCGGACGCCTTCCACGCTTGCCAGGAGGTAACCTGATCAGTGAGCCGATCTCTTTGGCGTCGTCTCCTGGTGACACGGCTTATCGGGCGGAACTCATGCGTGCTGAGGCCCTCCGGCACCTGTCTGAGTTCGCTGTGGAGCGCGGCATCAGACGGGCCATACTTCGCAAAACCAAGGCCACAGCCATTGCGGACATAAGCCCAGGGCAACCGTGCGCTTACTGGCGTTGGAGGCGCAAAGGTGTCCACAAGAAAGGCGGCTGGGCCATGGCTAAGTTCCTTTCGTGGGACCCAGAACATCCGGGCAAACAAGCCTGGCTCCGGACCGGGCCCACGACTACCTTGGTATCGGCAGAACAACTTCGAGCCGCAGTTGGGTTCGAGAACTGGGTCCCCTCTCAAGAGGACATCGCCATGCTCAAGGACGGCTCACAGTCCCTCAAGGACACAGTTTGGGATGATCAAACTGGGCCTGGACCTAAAGAGGATTACATCATGGATGAGTTTGACATCGAGGCCCCGGCGCTGGAGTCACTACCACCTACTCCGGTGATGGTGCCCGGGACCCCTGTGCCGCCAGTACCTAGACTAGATGCTCAAGTTCAACATCATGAGCACCTGCACCAGAATGTCAGCATACACAGCCCTAGGTATGAGCAGGTGGTCCTTCAGCGCTTCGGAGAGCCTAACCGAGGAAGAAGTCGTTCTCGAACGCCCGGCACTCCAAGGAGAGCGAGGTCAACTTCACGAGCGCTATTGCCAAGAGCTGAGAACGCCGCAATCGCGCCCGAACCTCTTCTACCTCTTCCTCTGGTGGAGCAGGACACAGCCGACGCAGTCGAGCCATGGCAGTCTGCACCACAGTTCGACGAAAGTCAACCTCAAGAACCACAACCGTCTCCAGTTCCTCACGGTCTAGGTGAGTTACAACAAGAGCCCTGGCAGTCACCACAGTTCGAGGAAAGTCAACTTCAAGAACCACAACCGTCTCCAGTCCCTGAAGACAGTGCAGTTGGACATCAGCACATGGGTCCTTTGGCAGAGTCCACACAGGGGCCTGGTTCAGCACAAGGTCATGTACCGCAGCATCCGACCACGTCACCAGGGTCGTTGTCTCCACCGTTGCCTACGACTCCGATAACTAGCCAGTCATCGAGCTCGCAGGCGACACCGACACCACAGCTACCAGCCAAGAGACCCTTCGACGCAATGGTCACCTTGACACTGGACAAGGGTGTCATCTCTCTCGCGCCGAA